CGGTTGCTTAGCCTTACGTTGCCCTTCCAAAGATCATCAGGAAGGCGTTGCGTAACAGTTAGCATGAATATTCTATCTTGATTGAATTTATAAAAATGTTCCATCTTCGCAGCACATTCAAATTTCCACATTTCCTTATTGGCAAAAATATGCCTACGTTTTTATTGAAAAGTTTATATTTTTGAGTTCAATAATTGTTTCTTACTCATTTTGCTAGATTTTGGTATTTCGTGCTATCTCATCTGCATTATGAGCGTGGTACACCTGATGATATCTACCTTGACATTGAATGTTTTTCTTCAAGGTAATTAGATTCACTCTCTAAGTTCATAAACTTTTTCCTACTCCTATTTGTCTTAATTTCTTTATACGTGCAAAGTTCATATTTTTTTTACACAGTATGATTTTGGAATCTGTTTGTGAAATTCAGTGATTTGAAAATAGCGGCAAAACCTAGCTGCTTAACAAGAAATGGTAGCATTTGCTGTGGAATTGAAAACAAACTGAAGAAGAGGACATTTAATTTCTTTCATTGGTTTAATGAATTTAAATTTTACTATAATTATTGTTTTCTAATGATAATGGAATTTCAACTTTTGTTGAAAGCGGAGTTGAAGCTTCCATTTTTATATAGGAGAGTGAGTGGTCTTATGGTGTTAAGATAATAATATTGGCTTGGAGGAAATCTTGAACCGTATTATGTTGTCAAGTTAAGTTCAACTTGAGAAACCAAAAAAAGTTAAATATGTAATAGATTTATCCAGTTGTTTTTCTTATTTAGGCTCTCTAATCTTTTGTTTAGCAAAGAAGATTAGTAAATATTTATAATATGTAAATATTCCTGCAATTTACATTGGATGTTGAAGGATAGTCGATCATATCTCTATGGAAAAGAAGAAAATAAAGAAATTACTTGTGTGCAAGGAAAATTTTCTCGTGCAAGAAAAATTTTCTTTTGTTTTATTTCTTATCTTTTAATTTTATTTCGGCGTCCACTTAAAAAAATGTTACATGTGATGGAAGATTATTCCTGTTGGCTTTCACCAATCCCAAAATTGTATATGAGCGTTTTATGGAAAGATTCATCTTTATAGTTACTTAATAATCATCAACCAAACATAATTCACTAGGAAAGTATTAAAACGACCAAATGGTAAAACAAAATTGGAAAATAAGGAAGTGGCTAGCAGCACGAAGAAGACATGCATCAAATTAATGCAAGGATTCTAAGAAAATTTGTTTAAGTCCAATAATCAAAAAAGAAATTTTTTTAAATGTTGGTGCTTTTCAAGTTGCTAACTATTTGTTCTCTAATTAAACTGATTCTTTTCGTATTCACTAATTAAATTAGATAATCAATGCGTAAATAATAATCATATCCTATAATGGAGTATATTTTTATGCACTATTATTAAATCTTTTTTCATAGTTTATATTAAGACTTGAATATTATTATTTTTTGGTTAGTTATCTTTATTATTAGGATGTTGAAGAAAGAAAAAATGATTCGACATTTTTAAAGAAAATGATTGGGTAGAGAAGTAAGAAAGGGGGGAGAAAAAAAAGGAAAAGTTAAAGATAAAAGGGTTTAAAAAGAAAAAGAAATGGAAATAAAAGACAAAAATTACAGACAAATTCCTATAATTAAGTATTTATATGCACATAATAAATGTACAACGAACTAACCGTCTTGAATTTGTTAAACATATGCACAGAAGAAGTTTTTCTTGAAATTCTTTTCCTTCTTTAATTTCTTTTGAGAAAAATAAAAGTATTTTTTCACTTATATTGATTATACAACAATCAAGTATTTTTGAAGACTAAAAACTCTAAGTGATGGAGAATTATATAAAATGTATAAAGCTAAGTGTGGATAATATAATTGGTTAAATTGAAATATTTGAATTTGAAGACAAAATAAATTTTAAATTTTTTGATATTCGTAAAATCTAATAATTCGCGCGAAGCGCGAATACATTCACTGGTTTCAACAATAAAAACAATTAAAAAATGTTGTTTACCTCATTTCTACCAGGCATAATAGGCCTTCCAACAAACATCTCAGCCAAAAGGCAACCAGCACTCCAAAGATCAATCCCAACTCTTTGTCTTTGTCTGGTAAAAATTTGCAAGCCCAAAATCAGCAATTTTGAGCATCCCATTCTTGTCTATTAGCAGATTTGACCCCTTAATATCCCTATGTAGTATCCCTCTCTCATGGCAATGTTGAAGTAGAGCAACTGCTCCATGTAACGTTTTACCTGCAAGTTGTGTTACAGTACATTTTATTAGGCTCACTATAAAAAAAAAAATAGAATTAGCTACGAAATTCATTATTAATTTATCGCTAAAAATTATAGCTAACAAAATTTTCTTGATAATCTATCGCTAAATAGGATTAGCGACGTATTTTTTTAGTTAGCTACAAAATTTATCCATCGTTAATTTTTGTTTTTCTAGTAGTACTTTATTAATAGAAGACATAGTTATGAAAAAAGTCTACATGGATTATCCATGATTTTATCTGTTTTTTTTACTCAATTAAATTGTTAATCAATATTCTAAAGTCTAAAATCCTAAAATATGACACCAATCTACTATTCTTCTTTAAAATAACTTCAAATTGGCCTAAGGATAAGTTTATTTAGAAAAATAACAAATAATAGTGAAGTTTAGTTTCCCAAAAAGGTTGATGATTTAATGAGTATGTTTACTTGTTTAAGTCTGATAACTACTACTCAATTCCAAACTATACTTATTTTCAACTTTCATTGTCGTCTTCTATTTCTTCCGTTAGATATGTCTAAATAATAACATATTTTAAATCTTTTGACAGAACTTTTTTCCATGTGATTTTAGATATATCGCTCTTCATTAATAATTTTTTTTTTCATTCCAAAACATTACGAGCAAAAACTATAAATAATTAGGAAGTTACTATTAGCACTTAAATTATGCAATTTTTTCTAAACATTAGAAAAGGAGGAAAATAATTAAGTAATAATTACCTGAGGCTCAGTGAGTCTTCCTTCAGTGCGATTGATAAGTTTAGTTAAATCAGATTCCATGAAATCAAAAACCAAATAAAGACTATATTGCATTCTTGAAGTGGCTAAGCCTTCAAGCTTGATAATATTTGGATGATCAACTTTCTTCAATATTATGATTTCTCTTGCCATAAACTTTACACTCTCTGGTTCTGATGTATCAAATCTAACCTTCTTTAAGGCTACTATTTTCCCACTCTTCCTATCTTTTGCTTTATACACATTGCTATATGTCCCTTGCCCTACCTGCAAAAATAAGATGCATTTATATTTGGATTTTTTATAATACAAATCATGTTTAGGTTATCGTTTTGAATAGCTTAAATACGTACGTACTAAGAAAGCATCTTCACGTCTCATTCACAAAGGCAACATCTTGAAAAAATTATAAGATGTACAATCACGATTCATTTTGTTTATAGTTTTATAATATTGTCATTGATTTTAGCGAAAAAAATAGGATTGGGGTGCAGATGCAGATGAACATTATCTACTATGGATATTCAGTTGAACCCAATATTTTCTATGATATTTACATAAAAAAATTAAAATTTCAATAGATATTAGATTCTGTACTCATAATGTCGAATAATAAGAGTTTTACTATTGAGAATCTTAAAGGTTGAACACGTAAGAGTTGAAACTTACCTTAGCAAGCTTATCATAAGAATCAGCAGTCTTTGGAACTAGACCAACCAAAACCTCTTTAGGAATGTTATCAACTAGCCATTTTGGCCATCCATCCACCAATTCATCTCCTTCCATTTTCCTTGTGCCTCTATTTGATAATTCATTTCCTATTCTAACTCCAACTCCATTTCTATTTCCATTTTCCAATTCCATCCCTTCCTTTGATCATCTCCTTTTGATCTCTACTAATAATTCTCTTTTCTACTTCAACTCCATGATTCCTCCCATTCCCTTCTTGCTCCCTAATTCGACTCATATCCCTCTTATTCTGTTGTTGTTGTTGTCGTCGTCGTCCTTTAACATAACCATTATCAAGTTTCATGCTCTCAAACCTCTCGGGAGAGAAACCATAACCCCTACCTTGAACACACCCCATTGATGGATGGTCCCTTCACGTCACGAATCTCCTAAAAGTGTTGAATCTAAGTGGTGGTAATGACTAAGAGAACTATGCAAATAAGTAGAAGAAGATGATGATATGACTAACAAAATGAAGCATTTTAATAAAATAAAAGAAAGGAAATGGTAAAAATGTTAAGGAAGTTTAATTCTCTTTGTCCCTAGACCGGCAAATATTTAATGGAATAATGTAATAATTGTAAAAAGAGTCATTTTCGAGGAATTCTTTGCTTTTGTCGTCATGTAACGTAATATGGAAAACAGTTCATGAATTAAGTCCATGGTTAATTAATGACCAGGTTCCTTCTGCTTTCTCGAGGAAATTTACTCTTGTTTTTGGAGATACAGTTTTATTTATTTTGTAATAAACCAAAAGGTTTTGGCTGGTAGAACCTAGTCAAATTATATTTTATGTAAATGTATCCAAAAAGAAGCATAATGGACAAAACTGGAGCAATCAAAGGGATACAGGTAGAAACTTAGTCAAATAATATAAAATCTACTTTAGAAGTATGTTCCCAAATATAAAATCTACTTAGTCAAATAATATAAAATGGGCAAAATTGAAATAATCAAAGGGATTACGGATCCAATTCTTGGAGTAACTGAAGTAGTGTAAAAAGCTTGAGGCTATAATAACTAATAAACAAAAAACAAGAAAAAGGTAAAGAAATTAAGAAAGGAGAAATTACAATATTTTGACTATTTGTAAGTCAAATTATTGAAAAGATGCAACTGAACGAATCAACATTTTATATCTTGAATTTACTTGTTTTGCAAAGATGCAACTCCATCGTTTCAAAATAAGACTTAAAATAAAGAGAATTTTTCATAAAGCACAATCTTTTAGTCCTAATTAGCCATTTATAGATACCTTTTGTTATATTACGCTCTATAGATATCTTTTATGTTTTTATACAATGTATTTCATGTATTTAAACGGCTGTATTCATTAATACAAGAAAAAAAATAGGCGCAAAAACAGGAAATCCAGCTAAGTGTTATTTGTATTTAACTGTATTCAAGCGAAATTTCAGCTGTATTTAACT